GTGAGGATGACAGTGTGCATCACCGGGGAATTCGCCCTCAAATGCAGGAAACGGCAACGCACCCGCCGGAAACAGGTGCGCATGATGTCCCTCCACGTCAGCCGCGCAGCCTGTCTCCGATGAGAAGAAATTTGAAGAAACGGACGTCGGCGCACTCCCCTCCACCCCGGGCAAATTAATCAGGACGATGGAAATATCAATTCGGGGGTTCCACACTTGCCGAAGGATGTTATGACGCTCTGACTCCTCCACGTGCATGTCGACCCAATGCTTTATTTCATTTTTTTCCTTTTCACGTGTTTGCATTGTTTTTTTAACTACATCCAACACAGATTGGATGGCAAACGGCACCTTGTCAACCAGCACCGTTCCATTCCTTGAAACACCGACGATCGAAACCCCAAAATCAATGGCTATCAACAAATGGTACCGTTGGTACAAGACTTCCACCGGCCAACGCCACACACTTGTTCCGGAGTAGATGTTGTCCCATGGCTCGTTTTCGTGACTCTCGGCGTCCTCTACGGGGGCGCCGTGAGTTCTTTCCAAAAATATGGGCATGGACGACGCCTCGGGAGAGTTTTGCAATAAGCCTGCAAACTGCTCGTTGAAGGTTGTCAGTGTGTTGGGCGTCAGGGGCAACGCAATCACACGTCGCAGCTCCTCAAGAGATCGGAGAAGATAGCAATCATCATTCAATTGAGATGGTTTTCGCAAACCCCTGGCGCTTTTTTGTCCGATGGGGTGTTTCAGTGCATATGAAACCTTGTCTGTGGGACGGAATGACTCTGCGCTCTCAAAAAGTAAGTATGGATTCACTGGAGAAGAATCCATGACAAGACCAAACTAAAATGAGAAAAGTAGAAGAAAATAAAAACAAGAGAAGGCGCATAAAGGGACGCAACCGACAGTAAAACGTATGATGTGCCCCCGCCCTCCGTTCCCCACTTATGGGCTGCTTGGCTGATGGGTTTATTGGTTCGTTATTTCATTGATTCTTGGAAGCGAAGACTTATCAATCCACCGCGCTGGCCCTGGCGGATGCGTAACGGGTTGTGTTGCGCGCCTTCGCCTGAGGCGGCGTCTCCGGGAGTCGAAGCTCCCCTTCGCATTTCCACCCAGCGAGGCGGACGTGCCCCACGATGGCGGCCAGCGTGCGGACAACCAAATTTATCCGCAATGACACAAAGAAACCCCTAATAAAGAAGGGCCGCGCTCCAGAAGGATCGCCGCGCACAATTTTCCACGAAACGCGGGTGGCGACCGCTTCGGCTAAAGCCAGGCACCGTCCCAGGACAAACGCGGTGCCGTGCCGAGACCTTTCGTGGGCCGGAGCCGTCGGCACGCACCCCGACCCGCCCGCCAAACACCGCAGTGCCCGAGTACGCCATCGCCCGCCCGCCGCCCAGCACCACTCCGACAGCGCGTCGGTCCCGGCATCAAAACCCTCGAGTCGCGGGCCGTCGCGTTCTTGCGTGCCGGCGGGCCGTGCGCAAACGCGAGCGAGTAGCGGCCCCCCGGCACGGCCACCACACACAAAGAAGCACAGACGCAACCACGCCAGGGGCGAAAACACCCTCCCACAAACGACCGGCACCGCGCGCCAGCCATTTACACGCAGAGACGTGCGCAGGAGCCGTGGGCCGGCACCCCTCCCTCATCAAGCGCCGCCGCGCCACAACGCACTGCAGAAACGGCGCGCGAACCACGCGAGCGGGCACCGTACACGAGGCAGCAAAAACATTTCGCCCTACAATTGCCCACGCCAGACGCCCCCAGTATGCGCCGCCAACGGCGCCAGGAAGGCCGCAGAAGCGGCCTCTTCCCTCCGCCCGCCTCCTGCTCGGGGCGAACCTCCCCATCCTTCCCCTCTCCTCGGTCCGGACGCCGCAAGGGACTGCCAAGAATAAGCCGTGCGCAAGGCACGCCCGTGGCCGCGACGAGAAGGACAGGACGCTTCCAAGCTTGCGCGGTAGTCCTTTACTTCCCTCGGCCCCGACGGATTGGCATCACGCTTCACAGCGGGTTTTGGCGTCCCACACTCACAGTGGGCGCGGCAAGCGCTGAGCTGAGCCGCGGAAAAAATAAAAGGAAAGAAACAAAAAGATAATTGATTCGGCGGGGCTTTCATTTCATTTGCCATGCCGCACGAGACGGCCGTTTGTTTGTGTACAAATGTTGCCCGCAACGAGAAAAAGCAGTAAAACAAAAGAAATATTACTTTTTCACGAGCCCACACAAAATCCTTCGGCCCGCGTGCGGCGCCCAGCCTGTTATTCCACTCCCCCTTTTGTGCGACCCGTGGGACGCACAGCGGCGAGGCCGGCACCGCATGTGGGCGAAAAACAAAAGCGAACAAGATGGGGAAAACGTCGCGCATCACACTGTAAAACCACTGACCATTGGAAAAAGAGAAAAAAAAAAGAGAGTACCGATCATTATTCAAAAAAAATTTTAAACAAAAAAGATTAATTTAAAAAGAAATTAAAAACAAAAGAAGACTAAAAGATGAATACAAAAAAAATTGAAAAAAAAAAGTAAAAAAAAAGCAAGTGATTCCGCATGGAACGCGGCACATATTTCCCCCGTGGGGAACCACACATCCGCACTCCTTTGCTCAGAATACCGCCGCAACTCCAAACAGTCCCAGATGCAGAAGCGGCAGTGGTCTTTGCACCCACCCAGCGATGATGTCCGCCTTGCCTCCACCGTGCGCGTCGGTGGATGCTTGAGCGCCGTGGATAAGGGCCCATCGCCTGTATTCGTCGGTGTCCTTGCTCGTCAAAAGCGATTGATTGAAGATAAATTCCCCGTTTTTTGCAGCATTACTTGTAGTGTTGTCAACCGTGCAGCTCGGCAACGCCAGATTGCAGAAAATCACAATAAATTCCTCTTCCCCTGAACCTTGACTGCCTTTATTCGTAACGGCAGGGCAATCGGTCCAGTTTTTCTCGCCGAATAGGTGCCAGCGCCCACTGGGATTTCCGCCCCCACACGCACCATATCATCAACCTCATCCTTTTTCGCGTAAAAGTGCAAGAAGCACCAGCAGCGGCAGCAACAGCAGAGGAAAAGCGGCTCGAGGAACGAAACGGTGCACAACACACAAATCATTTTAATGACTTTTTAAAAAAGTGCTATGGCTGTTCATTCTCTCTTAAATGCGCAACACATGCGGTATTCCTTTGTATTCTTTTGGCGAGATGGAATTTACCCTTTACCATCCTGTCATGAAGGGCAATGCGATTATGTAGTTTCCCGAATCAGAGTCAGAGTAAAGATTTGTATTTTGTATGTATGGCAAGTATGAAAAAATTCTTGTTTTTTTTTGCCAGTGGAGCGCATTATAATTTTTTGTTGAGTAGTGATTTTGTTTTTTTATAGAATATTTCGTCGTCTCTTATATTAATTGCCAACCTTTCAGTTGTGTTGTAAATTTCCCACTTCTTTCGGAGTGGCGAAGACTCTTATGCTCTTGGGCACGGCTTCCATTGGCCCAATTCCCCGGTGATTTCAGGGCTAGGTACCTCACCGTGGTGCCAGGGTCAATTGCTCCGTATTGTCGGGGGAAGCCAGGAGCCAACAATGTTTATCTCACGGTGTCATGGAAGTTGGCGCAGGGCTGAAGGCATCAACCAGCGCCCGGACCAGCTGCGTCTTGCTGGGGCACGGCACAACACCATGAGGTTTGGCGACACGCGTTGCCGCAATGCATGCCAAAAAATTGATTCAAAAAAACGCAATAAAAAATATCGCCTGCCTATTCTCCTCACGGCGCGTTTGTCTTCTGGTGGATTGTGGCGTCTTCGTGCCCAAGCAGGCACGCCCATGATGCGACTATCCTTCAGACGCCTGACCTTTGCTTATTGGAGATTTCCCCATGTGTGTTGTGCAAAGGGTATCCTCTCCAGAAGCTTCCCTTTCCCATATCCTGTTTGTGCTCGGGTTCTGTTCAACTAATCTCCAGCTCTGCTTCGGCAGACCCTCCCGCCCTCCGCCGCGTTAATGGGGTTGAGGAATCGACGAGCTCACGTAGAGCTCAAAAGCAAAGTTGTCGCGTGACGCCCCCCGGTAGCAAGAAGTGACGAATGCCACTCCGAACCATTAGCGTCCGTCTTCCCTTTCATTCAACGGCTAGAGCGCAGCCCAAAATATCGCCAATTCGCCGCAGGTGTTGAACTCCACTGAGGGCAAATGCTGCCGAACTCCCGCTTCTTTTGGCAGGCGTCTCATTCCCCGCCTCTTGCAGCCAAATGGTGGAAACGCCGTCATTTTCTCATGAAATGCGTTTTTCTCCCTGCAAAATCCCAGTAAGCCACACACAAAAAAAAAAAAAAAAACTCAACGCAAAATGCTGGTGTTTTTCGTTTATTAAATACGGTTGGGTTGGGCGGCAGCAAACACACCTACACACACACAATAATCCTCCGGGCCGCTAGCCGGATACTGAAATTATCTAAAGAAACCAAAGAAGATAGAGAAACATGGGGATAACGCAGAAGAAGTTAATTGCCTCAGTGTTTTCTTCTGATATATATATATAGATATATATCTATTCTTCTGACCGCTTACATGACCTTTTTTACTCAGATAGGATCTGAAACATCATTATTTAAGAATTGGCGGACTTTTGGGTTCCCGCAGCCTCAACACACCGCCGCGTGGTGGGAATCAAAAAAGGGAGCGGGTGGGACGGTAAAAATCAAAATATAAAATTATTTAGCCGCAATCAATTCCCTGCTCTCCCCCATAAAGTCGTGTTCTTCCCACCATTCACACGATAGAAAAGTATCATAAAGAAGTGCATTCGCTTTATCAGGATATACAAATACATTGATTAAGTTAGCCAGGTCTCCCGCGGTCATTCTCTTCACAAGCTCCCAAAAGGAAAAAAAAAAAAAAAAAAAAAAAAACTTTGTACAAGCAAACCTCCATTTATCGGTAACACCATGGAATAATAGAAAAAAAAAAAAAACCTAACACGTTCAATCCTCAACGAAAGGAAGCGGAGCGATGGCAGTTTTCACCGCAACAGCCTCTCCAGGTCTTTTCCCATAAATAAAAAGAAGTACAAACTGAGAAACGCATGCCACTGCTCCAAGAAAATTTGGAACCATAATAAATTTATCATTCACCAAAAAGCCGTACCAAAACCAAAACACTGTGTTGGCTAACCCAAACGCCATGGTTATTGGAGCCAGCCCCTCCGCGTTCTTATTCTTAATAATGGTTCCAGCAAGGGCAAGGGGCGAGCCAAGCATAAGAACAGAGGTACAGCCTCCAAGAACGCCATTGAAGACCCTGGCACTTTGAGGAGAAATAAACGCAAGAAAGACAATTATGGTAGATAAGCAGAGTATAATAATTAAAGTAAATACAATGGTCATCAAGGACTTTCTGTACGTCGTACTAACAAGTCGATTTCCTGACTTTTCCTCCATCCGAGCAACCGAAAGAAAGACAAGCAAGCAGTATGTTGCGACGGCGTTCCCAATAACATTACATATGGTGATGGCAAAAGAAAGTTGCAAAACACCATAAATAGACCACACAACCGTATTTGCAAGTTGGGCGCAAAAAAAGGTTGGCGTCATGATCCCTACAGAACACTGCTGTTCCATCTTCCTCACAGTGAATACCGGGGAACTGACTGTACCGACGGTGGCTATAGTGGCTAGCATTGAAACAACGTTTGCCGTTGTCGACATAATTCACCTATCCAAAGACACTCACGCTCTCACAGAAAAAAATTAATTCTGAACTTCACTGTTTTTTTTCTTTTTTTCTTCTCTCCCGGGTATATATATATATATGTATATACCCGGGAAAAGCAATAATTATATTCTCCACACCAGCACCGCCAAGAACTGGATAAAAAAAAAAAAAATGATAGTTTTTGCTTCCCTCAGCTTGGAAAAGACAAAATGGCATACAGGGCAATGAATAAACTCGCAACAATAATTTGGAGACCAAAATGCAGTAGAGTTCACTACAAATCGCATCAACCGCCACCAACGTCCGTGTCAAGAGAGAAAACCCCTTGGCATTTCAATCTCTGATAGCAATTCGTGGCCATAGCGGGAATGGAGAGGGAAAGTGGTGGGAACCGAGCACGAATACCGGAAAGCTGCTACCAAACAGACAAATTAAACTCTATGGGCCATGCATGTCTACTCCAAAAAGGTAATCAGCACAAAAAGTAGTAAAACGGGATCATTTTCCTTCTTTCGGCAGATTGTTTTCGCGAGACGGTACCATAACTTCTCCCCCCTTCCAAAAACAAAACAAAACAAAAAAAAACCCTACACACCCATCATCGAAAGAGCACCCCGTATACCGACTGCATGGGAGATGCCACAAACTGCGCAAAGAAAAACGGCGGTGTCATAAATGCCAATAGACTTTTGCCCCTCCGCCTTCCATTGCTGTTGATGCAGAAAAAATGCATATCAATGTGAAAGCGGTGATCGCCAGTATTAAAGTGAATTAAGTCAGGATTGTGATTGGAACTTTCTATCCCTGAAGAACATACGACAGTTCACACACCCAAAAACCACCATATTTGTATATATTTATATTCATTAATTCCTTGCCATTTTCTTTGAAATGTGATTTTTAAAAAAAAGGTGTGCGAAGAAAAAGTGGGGAAATAATAATAATAATAATAATCAGCAACACAGTAAGAGGGGGATGCGTGACTCTTGCCTATGACGTATTGGAGAGGGTGTGGGATTCTGTCACGGTGACGAGTCCGTCTCCCCCCTTTCAATCGTCTTCCCTTTCATTTATTTATTTATTTTACCAGGAGAAACACACACGCAGTTACCCTTTTCCCCGAACAGCTTTTGCATGTATCACCAAAGCCAACAGGCCGTGGACGTCTCAAACCAACGGAAGGAAACCAGTTCGTTCACGTTCTCCCGAAGCTCGGTTACACCAGGTGCACCCCATCCATGTCTTGAGATCCGCGTGATGCAACAAACCCGCGCAACAAAGGTTTCCGCTTCAGTCCCTCTCTCTCTCTCTCTCTCTCTCTCTCTCTCTCTCTCCTATTAATCGTATATCTCAAAACAAGAACAATAATTACCCATTCGACTGACGACGAGACGACACTCTCTCCAGGGCACGGTGGTGGGCTTGAAAAGAAAGGAAGAGGTCATCGGCTTCACCGTGGTGGCACCGAGAGTGATATGAGGACTATACGCATCGATGCAATGCTCTGAGAGGTAATTTTTCATCCACTCCACTGTGGCCGCGTTATCAGCACTAAACGACGGATGAAAAGCGGCTTTCCCTACATCAAGTGTGGCGGGAAGCACATGATATGGGAGCACCGCACAACTAATCTTTTTATTTAATGCACAGAGAGTCTCGGAGCGCAAAATCCTGATGCTGGGGAGACGAATCTCTTCTCCATCTTTGCTTGTGGCAAAAGAAGGTCCATCATCTAATGCGGCTAAACTAATTGTCGCATCTTGCCTTTCTGTCAATTCCTTCATGGAAAGCCAAATCTCCCGCACTACGTTTCGTAATGCATCTAGATCAGAAGGCCGGACGCTAAGCTGGGCAACGGTGCAGTGGGGATGTCCGTAGCCGCGACGGAGCGCCTTCTCCTCAAGA